AATGCAACCGGAAGCAATTGCGTCATAATCACGTGGCAGTCATGAGACTTTAGGTTCTGGAACTTTTTCTCTGCCATGTTTATTATTCCCTTTATATTCGACGAGAAGCCAGATGGTACCTTAATACTGAGCAGGCATTCAAAGAAGATTTCCTTCTCTTCTTTGGTAAGAGCGTAGCTTGCATGACCCTGATGTATGCCGTCTTCTCCGTGCATATGTTGCTGGTCCTCCCGTGCCTCAGGTGTATCTTTTGTCTTCTCATACACGCCCAAGAAGCCAAGCAGGGTCACGCAAAGATTCTTCGTCACGTGCATCACGTTGATTGCGGAGCGGACCTCTAGGTCTTTCCAATATGGCAGGTCCCAAAATATAGATTTCTTCTTCCACATGGGTGCGCGTCCGTCAGCATCCTTCGGAACAGGTTGTCCGCCAGGACCCTTTCCAAATATCACCTTCAAATCCTTAACCATATCATGTACATCAGCACCAGTACGGTGGCGAGGCTTCGTCCGGTGATCCGCCTGACCTTTGAAATGCTTGCCTTTGTTTCTTACGGGATGCCTGCTCGGAAGAAATCGACGATGTCCCAGATACACATTCTTCTTACAACTATTCAAATATATACTGTCGGTATCATCCAAACAGTGCGTGCATCCGCGGTATCCCTTGTTTGTCTGTCCTGATAGGTTACTGAGAGCTGGCCAATCATTGATGGTCACGAACAGCAACGCCTTTAGGTCAAATTCTTCCCCCATGTGCTCATCCCACGCACGTACACCTGTTCCATTCCACAGTTGTAAGAGTTCTTCAACTAATGGCCTTAGGTACACATCAATGTCGTTGTCGGGTTGCTTAGGGCCTTGGATGAGCACTGGCATCATAATGAACTTCCGCTTCATGCACAACCAAGGAGGAAGGTTATACAAACATAGAGTCACAGGCTAGGTGCTATGGTTGCTGCTCTGCTTCCCGAAAGGATTAATGCCATCTGCGCTTAGACCAAACCATACGCTCCTTGCGTCATCTGCAAACTCCTTCCCGTACTTTCTTTCGATTTTTCTCCACTGCGACCCGTCAGCGGGTACTCTCAACTTTCCGTCTTTCTTACGGTCTTCTCTGTGCCATTGCATCGCCTTGGCACGCTCTTTGTTTTGGAACAAACGTTTCAACCGTGGTATTATAGGAGAATACCACATCACCTTGGCAGGAATCTTCTTCCTGGGGCACTCGCCCTCGACATCACCATGCTCGTCGCGACTGATCTTATAGCGCAATGCACCACATACCGGGCAAGCGTTCAAATCCTCGTACTCACCGCGGTAGAGGATGCAATCATTAGGGCATGCATGTATCTTCTGCACCTCTAACCCTAGAGGGCAGACAACCTTCTTTGCTTCGTACGTACTCTCGGGCAATTCGTTGTCCTTTGGAAGCATATCCTTTATCATTACCAGCAACTTTCCAAATCCCTTGTTAGATACACCATTCTCTGCCTTCCATTGCAGCAATTCCAGTGTGGTGCCCAGCTTTTTCTTGTCACCTACGCAATTCGGGTACAACAATTTTTTGTGATCCTCTAACATGCGCTGCAACTTCTTCTTCTCCAAATCACTTGCGCAGTTTCTCTTTGCATCGGCAATGGCCCGACCTAGATCATCAACGGGCTCATCTGATGCCTCTTCTTCAGATTCTTCCTGCATTACCGGCTCAGCTTCTTCCCCCATTGTTGTATCATCGTATTCAGGGAACCCATGGCCAGGATAGCTGCCGTCGTCCTGTTCTTCTTCATTGTCTTCCATCATAACCCCCCTTTCTCCGTGCTTGGTCCAAACATTATAGTGGGGCATGAAACCGGACTCAAACAGGTGGACGTGAATGGTTCTTGACGTAGAGTAATTGCGACCATTCTTACAGCCAGCACATGGACAAGGCATAAAACCATCCGCCCGCTTGTTTGCCTCAGCCGCAAGCAGAAAAGTATGCACGCCCTTAACGAACTGGGGAGAGCATCGGTCATCGTACATCCATTGCCGGCTCATCTTCATTACACAACACCGAATAGACCAAATTAATACAAGTTCATACATAAAGTTCATACAACACTTAAATGCAACAAACAAATAACTCTCTAGCTAAAGCATTTAAATGCAACAACAAATGCGATCAAGATCGCAACTAAGGTAAAAATTGATCCAACAGCATAATGATACCAAGCCTCACTATCGATGGCATATTTTCTAATCTTTCTAATCTTCAAGCGCATTTTCTCCATCTTGATCTTGTGATCATCGACGACATTGGCAACATGCAACTCCAATTCCATCTTCTCCCCCTCAATTCTTTTCAATTTTTCTTTCAAGTACTCGTTTTCTCTTTCAACTAAATTTAACCTCTCGACAATAGGGTTGGTTGGAATTTCCGGTTCACATACCTCCTAGATAAAAATATCTATGTCAACTTGATGGGCATAATTTGTCATAAATACGAAATGCAACAAATAGTTTTAAAAGAGAATATACCACATCCGAATCATAACAAGGACGAGGACCGACGGGGACGGATATCAAAACCATGGCACTATGTATAACAAAAAATGTACGGGTAAGATAATTATTATACGAGTAACTATATATCCAAATCACACAAACATCAATTTTTTATATAAAATTTCATGAACAAGAGGCTCACCACAAGGTGGTGCCGGCGACGGGACGGTGCGGGCGATCCACGGTGGTTACGACGGAGATTTAGAAGGCACTAAGTAAACCACACCTACATATGCAAACTAAGTGTTATTTTGACCTCAAATTGCATATAAATCAAATACTAGCACATATATATATTTCCTCCCGAATTACTAAACTCACAAATTAATAACTATATAAAGCATTGCAAGAGCTAATCTAGCAATGAGAGATGAAAGGACAAAGTTGCTAACCTTTGTGATCACTTGAATGGATGGGGGCCTTCAAATCTTGACAAATTTTGGGCAAAATGTGTGATGAGCTCGAGGGGAGAAGAGGAAGAACAGAGAGGAGAGGAGAGGGGAAAGGGGGGAGAACAGAGCGAGCTGGACGAAGGGTTTATATGCAGGAGGACCTATAGTACCGGTTCGTGGCACGAACCGGTACTAAAGGTGCTGGAGGGGGCCCAGACTGACAACATCCTGCCACCACCCTCATTAGTACCGGTTCGTGGCACGAACCGGTGCTAAAGGTTAGCCACGAACTGGTACTAATGAGAGCGGCCCGGCTAGCCGTTTGAACCGGCACTAATGTATACATTTGTGCCGGCTCTAATACAAACCAGCACTAATGTGCTTCACGTTTGACCCTTTTTCTACTAGTGGTGCGACGCTCCGGCGGTATTGCTATCCCCCCAGAGCCCCCGTCCCGCCTCTTCAGACATGGCACCACACCGCCCCGCATTTATGAGGGCCCGGTTAGACGGGACGGTGTACCTGGGGGGCTAGCAATGCCGCTAGGTGTTGCTTTGGGCCCTCCTACGATTGTGGAAGCGTGGTGGCTGGCGCAGGCACCCGGCACGCAGCTTCGGGGTGTGCCCCCCCCCCGCTGTCGTTGTGGGGCCGGCGGCAGCAACATCCGTGAGGGGGGCAATTGATATATCATCAGGGTATGTTTTTTTGTTAGATAAGGCACATTTATGGTGTGAAAAAATAGGAAAAAATAAATAATGTAAATAAATTAAAAAAATAGGTATGCCGACGGCAAGCCGTCGGCATACCTGCGCACACGGCCACGGATCGATGACGTGGCAAAGGGCGGGGATCGATGACGTGGCAACATCCATGCGCCGGGCGTATGCCGACGGCTAGGCCGTCGGCATAGATTTGCCACCCCACGGTCCGGCGAGCGACGCGGATCGATGACGTGGCGGACGACGTGGATCGATGACGTGGGGCCTATGCCGATGGCCGCTGTTAGCCCGTCGGCGTAGACTGACGCCGTCAAAAGGCCGTTTGGTAGCCGGGCCCACGTGCTATGCCGACGGGCTCCTGTATGCCGACGGCAACCGTAGGCATATTTCTCGCGACGCCGACGGCTGAGCTTTGCCGATGGGGGCCGTCGGCATAGATGGATATACGCCGACGGCTTGGGCCGGGCCGTCGGGATAGGCCGATGTATGCCGACGGTGGCCGTCGGCATAGGTTCGGCCGTCGGCATTGCCAGTTATTCTGGTAGTGCTTGGATCTGCCGATTCCTCTCTCGCCCAAGCCTAAAACGGGGTGGCCGCGCGGCCACCCCGCGAGGGCGAGCCAGAACATCATCGGAACAGGGACAACGTGAGAGGAAGAGGGTTGACGGCTTGACACTCCCTGCAGCAGGAGAAGGGTGAGGCTTAGAGGGATGATCTGGGTGGCGGTAGCACAAGGCAGCTCGGAGAGGGCGATGTGGCTTGCGATCCACGGGGAGAAGAGGAAGATGATGAACAGTAGCCACACGTTGGAGGAAGATGAGTAGTAAGCGGTGAAAATATATGAACTGCCCCATAGAGCTTTTCCAGGCAACTGATGAATAGATGCACCCTTACCTTTTTTTCCGAGGATGACAAGCAAAAATACTCCATCTGTTTCTAAATGCACGTCTTTTTAGAGATTTTAATAAGAAACTACATACTAAGCAAATTGAGTGAATCTACACTCTAAATTACGTCTATATACATCAATATGGTAGAATGCAATTGAGAAATATTTATACCAGTATGAAAATATACTCGTCACAAATTGATGACATGACTTTTTAATATATATTTTTTTGCTTACAAGCTTGAATATAATACACGCTCATAGCCTCTTTTTATAGAGGACTTGTAACATCCACATATGGAAGTGAATGAAAGTACAAATTTATGAGATCATAACAGAGAAATGTGTAGATCAGAGTACAATATTTTGGACATGATAAATGATTGACAATTCAACACATTACTGACTAGCACATACCAGTCAGGTTTTGTCCTCGTTCCCAGCAGCAGATTCGTCAATCTGTGTTATCGATGTGAAGTAGGCTGGCATGTTCTATCAGGATCCAAACAATGGTTATGAGCTCACCGCCACTGCCAAGCTGCTTGGCATGTGAATCCCTGCTACACCGTTTGGATGCAAAGATAAGCAAACGGACCCATGCGTCAAAGATGAGACTCAACAGTTCTTCAGATGGTTTCTTTCTCGTGCTCCACTTAGGAGACCACAGCTCCGGCATCAACTTCTTAAGTCTTTTAGATAACTGCTTCCCCATCTTAACCTTTTTGAGAATTCCGGCCATTTCCGTATCTTCCCTATGCAGAAGTAGCAGCACCTTGGCATACTGAATGCCATCCGAAAGAAACAGACTCTCTTCGGAATGACTCTGGCTGCTGCTACTGCTGCTGCTTTCAGCGGCCCCCTTATCCTTCTCCAGAAGGAAACTTGCAAGACGATGCTTCTCTGTGACGCAACCTCCTTCAGGGCAATGATTCTTACAATCTTCAGATTCCCATATTCCAACCAGAGTCTTCCTCGTGTGTTCATAGTGGCTACGAAGCAAAAGGCCTGGCAGCATGGCTGGGCGTACAACCCAGAGGAACATCATGTAATCCGACAGCGCCTTGATCACTTCCTTATATTTTGGCAATGGATCGTCCTTATTGCTGCACTGCAGGAAAATATCTGTTGCGATGTGCCAGGTCAGAATGACCTCAGACAATTCTGGATCGAATCCCAGATGTTCGTCTAATGCCCTGTCCCTTCTGATGTTAACTCCCTCCTTCCTTTCTGTCATGAGTGTCTCCGGCACCGGCAACGGGTAGCAGTGGAGAATCCAGGGAATGTAATCGGCGGGGTAAACGGGGTCATAGTAGGCGTCAAAGCAAGGGAAACCGGTGTAACCGGGGTTGTAGTAGGCGTCGGGGCAAAGGTAACCGGGGTTGTAGTAGGCGTCGGGGGCGGGGCAAGGGTAACCGGGGTTGGGGCAGGGGTAGCAGGGGTGTTGGTGGTGGCAGTGGAACTGTGGTGCCATGGGCGGGGGGCAGGCTGGTTGCAGGGGTAGCAGGGTCTCCTTTTCCTTCTTATTATCCTTGTTTTTTCCAAACGGTGACTTCAGCTTTTCGAATATCCGTTTGAACAACTTGTCCCTTTCAGGTTCTGGAATGTTGAGGCCCCTCAAGTAACAATATCGGTATTCCTTCCAATACTCATCGGATGCAAGCTTTTTCACCACCAGTTCGCCTAATTTCCATGAAGTTGAATTCTCATCGGCTTCCCCAGTACAGTCAAGCAGCAAGTTGAACTGCCCGATGATGCCTGACCACCTCCTGTGGCTACCTATCGGCCTGATATGAGGCCGGGACAAGGAGAGCCGGGATGGATCCAGATACAGAATGAAGCGACAGATCTTGTGCACCTTGAGCATGAGCAGAGGCTTCTTTGTATCTTTCACGGCTTCATATGCCCAGCTGGAGCCTAGTGCTGTGAGCAGCCATATCATATCCAGGAGGAAGGTGGTAACCAGCAAGATGTAAGTCATGATGATATCAACCCTGGACTGGCCATCTCTACCGTGCAAGGAAAACAACACGAATGCAGTGGTGGTGCCGATCGGTGAAATGGAACGGATGAAGTAGCCCATCCATGTATGGACCATCGTTGACTTGGTATACATGATATCATACATGAGAGAGAGCTCCATCTCCACCACCTTGCTAAAGTTGTTCCATTCTCCAGCGGATATCCCCTTCCAGGAAGGTTGATTGACATTTGGTTCCACTTCTTTCAGTGTGAACGACTTATCAGTGAAGGCACCCTTGGTGATATGGAGGAGGGAGTGTGCAGATTCCAGAGCTTTCTTGTTATCCCACTCCAGATGTAAACTTGGGTAGATAGTAACTGGCTGATCGCCCTCGACCTCCTCGATTGTGCTCCGAATTGTGTCCATTCTGCCTTTCTGTAGCGCCTTGACTCTCTCCCAGTATTTCCACAACCCCAAGACAAGCATAAACAAGAACGCTGGTAGCAACGAAGTGTCGCCTCCAAGATGCGCGTATGCCCCATAGATGGACGCCACCACTTCTAGGGTGGCACCCACCGCTTCACGATTTGAGAGCTCATTGTCCTGCAAGTATAATGCGCAGATGTTGTCTCCACGACCAAGGTTTAGCAGCAGAAATGGGGCCCAGAACGCGATGAGCTTCTGCTGCTCGCTTGACGTGCTGCCCAAGAACAGCTTGCTGAGGGCATATGTGGAGGCCTTCTCGGCCAGCGGGAACATCACACACAGAAAGAACCACCGCACACCGGAGGATTTATGCCGACGTACCCCGGCACATAGGATGACGATAAGATGCGTGGAGAAGCTCAAAAGGACCAAAGCCCGTGAAAGCCATGCATTCGTCCAGTCCAGCCCCTCCTGATCCAGCCATCCAGCCATCGATCTGCTTCTGCCCTGAAATAAAGATGACAGTGGTATCGTATCACATACGCAATCATCTTGGTTCTTTGTTGCATCTAGGCTATAGACAACGTACGTACCGGCGTGCAGGTCGATCGATCGGCCGATGAAATATTTGGAGGCCTTCCCAACTTTTGACTGAGATTTGAGACAGTGCAGATCGATGCATCCAGAGAGAAATGATTGGTGTGGTGAGACTGACTTAGTTTCTGCAGATGGCATAGGGGGCAGATACTTGTTCGAACAACTCTGTCCTACCGTAAAATATGTGTTTTAAGTAACCACTATGCTACAATACATGTGCAAGCATGTGATGCGCTCACCTTGTACTCATTTCTGTCAGGCACAACTTGCGTATTTCAGTATGACTCCACATTAGATTCTCCGAGTGGTTGACTGAATATGCAACTCAAATAAAGACACTACTGGACACGATATGGAGACTCGGTGACAAGCAGATCATTTTTCAATTCCATACTCCGGCCTCCGAACAATAAGATTAGGCAATAAACAAACTGGCTAAAGATTATCATAGGCTCCTGCTAGCTGGTGGAACGATGCGCATCTCGTACCTAATGTACGCGCCCTGGTCCTATCCATACATCATGGAGCCAGAGTGGGCAGTGGTTTATTGTACTCCCTCCGGTCCTTTTTACTCTGCATATTAGGTTTGTCTGAAGTCAATCTCATCCAACTTTGACCAAGTTTATATAAAAAATTATAGACATTCACATAACAACACTAATATCATTAGATCCATCTTGGAATATATTTTCATATTATGTTTATTAAATATTATACATGCTAATAAATTTTAATATAAATTTGGTCAAACTTAGCAAAGTTTGACTTTCGGCAAAACCAATGTGCAGAGTAAAAAGGACCGGAGGGAGTACGTATCTGCCATGCATCTCCAACAGTTTTTAACACTATACAGCCATCTGATCTGGAGAAGGTACAGTTTTGTCTCTAGTTATGACGAGTCTACCAATGATCTACATGACCTGCCAACATCTTTTGCAATTCACCTACGTGATTCATACCAACTCATCACTAGTTTTTCGTTTGTATTCCCTCCGTCCCATAATATAAGAATGTTTTTGACACTAGTATAGTGTCAAAAAGGTTCTTATATTATGGGACGGAGGGAGTAATTTTCTGTACGTAACTAATAAACGAAGACAGATACACATTGATATATAATGCTTCCTGGAACAATGAAAAAAACTCTTTGCAACATCAAGGTTGAGATGTTTGACATGTACTTGTCTTTCATTGGTTTGGTATATAGCTACAGCTAGATCATAGAAGCGCGCTTTGCCACGCCCGTCTATCTTGAGAAAGCCCGATCAAGTTTAAGATGTTTGGGTGGTTGTTGCTGGTAGATCGCTTAAACACGAGAAACATGCTCAAGCGCAGACATTACGCCGTCACGGGCAACAATTATGCCTGCACGTTGTGCCAAAACCCCCCTGAGAAAACTGTTGAGCACCTGTTCTTTACATGCCCTTTTAGCCAACGCTGCTAGAGCAAGGTTGGCATGCTTTGGCCGACATTGGACAACAGGATCACCCTTTTGCATGGTGGCAAAGGAAAATTGGCGGCGGCCCCTCTTCATGGACATTTCTATGTTAGCTGCCTGGAGTTTGTGGATGGAAAGAAACAACGAATACTTCAGAGGGATCCCACACTCTTTTGCCTCATGGTTGACTAGGTTCAAAAATCTTTTGGAACTTCTAGTCCATAATTGCAGAGAAGAACTTCGTCCTTTCTTG